CCTGACGTATAATTAAAGTACTAAATCATAATATCTTTCGTAGATGTCTATGTATAGGGATGCGTAAGGCTCGTTTGCAAGAAGACTTGTCATGGCTTCTCAAAGTACAATGGATCCAAGTAATCTAATATGTAATTATGTCTTCTTTTACACCTTTCCTTATAAAAATATTTTTTCTCTTTCTTACAATGCAGTTTATATCTCATTTCAGCTGAATGGTGGAAGTGCCATGGTGGAGACACACCTCACTTAAAGATGATAGCAATCAATGTGCTATCCCAGACATGTTCAACTACTGGATGTGAGCAAAAATATAGCTCCTTCCAGTGCATACACACCCCTAGAAGAAATCGGCTGACTTCCGACAAACTTCATAAGCTCATCTTTATTCATTACAATTCAAAGCTCTAACAACTACATCTGCAAAGGAAGATTGATGATTACATCTCAATTGAATTCTATGTGGTATTTATTGTAGATATAGCTAAACCATGGTTGGTGAAGGAAGAGCCTCGATTGCTAGGCAAGATAACATTCCTCGAGGCAATCAGTGAGATGTGTAAAGAACACGATGTTGATGAGCAGGGAGGAGGATGGGGAGTAGAAGCAGGTTCCCCTACTGACATTTGAGCAATTTGTTAGAGATGTAGGAGGTGTTGCACATGTTGATGGTGAGATGGGTGGGGGTAGGGGAGGAAGCGAGAGAGATTATGATTGTAAGGTATCTCTATCCCAACCAAGATATACAGTATATACGCGACCCCAGATCTAGTAACAAGAGGGTGGGCACGAGCAAGAGTATAGGGGTGAGCAAGCGAGTGGGGGCAATCACAAGGGCTAGAGAAGCCTTGGGACTTTTGGTAAGGACAACAACAATTCTCCAAATGTGAGGGGTGTGGTTATAGTCAGGTCGGCACTGAGGATTTTGAGGCGTACATGAATCGACTCAATAAATTTTCGAGATAATTCAATTATATTCATGCGTTGATGATGAACAAAAACAAAACCACATTTCGTTTTGGCATTATGTTGTATTTTGATTGTCGTATGGTCAATTTTTTACTTTGTATTTATATCCTTAATTATTATAGGCTCTTTTTTTCAGTGATATGAATTTATGGTGAACAAACATTCAAACAAGAAAACATCGTCTCACTATTCACCTATTTTTACAAAGTAATGAAAGTACATAATGCATCACTCTTAATTTCTTTTGAAAACTATCACACACTATTTTCAGAAATTTATAATGATTTGTTTAAAAAATTTTAAGATAAACTTGTCGATTCGACTGACTCTTTGATCCGACATGCCAATCTACTGATCCGATACGATTTTCATGGTGGACGATCCAAAACGCCGATCCGTTAAAAGGGGCAGCCCTAGATTCACTCTTCCATAACCCCTTTGTGCATGTTAATACTAGTACCCAATGGTTTAAAAAACGGATCGGTGACCCGGATCGGGCACCCAAGAAACTGATCTGGATCGACGAATCGACGATTCGAATCGGGAATCGGGTGAATCGGTCAGAATAAAGCTTCAAAAAAATCTGAAAAAATTATTAAAATTCATTATAAATATTGTTTTTTAGGAATTCAATAAGAAATGAGGGTACTCCATTAAGAATTTTCATGTTTTTGAATGAATATGCAAATATTGATATGTTCTTTCCCTGCATGAACCGCCATTCAGCATTTAATTTACATCACACAAAAGGATAAACATAG